CCAGAGGCCCCTTCCCACCTCAACCCTTTTGCCATTCTGTGTCCCTGCAGTACAACACCGGCACGGCGTGTATCACAGGGCCGATAGATAGCCACCGTAGTGTGACTGTACGTGATCCTCTGACACAGGTAACTGTTCTTTTCTGTATTATCTCAGCCTCTTTCTCCATGTGGGTATACCTGTGAAGAGAGCTTAAGTCCCAAGAACCAAAAACGTGGTGGATGAGTGATGAGCCTGAAGAGGGAACCTCTGCCTTCCTTCGGGAGACCCCATGCAATAACCAATTAAATAGGCTTAATTTTTTGCAGCATTAGTGATTCTTCCCTGAAGTCACATTTTTTAATTTCACTTCTCCCCACTTCCTTTAGGTTTTGCCTTATAGTCTGTTTGCCCAGATTCAAGGATACAAGTGTCAGTGCGTAGCCTCCAGCTGCGCAGTGTGCCAGTACATTTAATTCCTTCCTTTAGCACAAAGGGCCTATTATTCCATTTGATTTTAATCAGCTTCTGGGAATATACCCAGCCATTCTCCTGTGCAAGTTGTCCTTTGTACGAGGATTCTGTTTTTAGAAGCATCCCACGTGAGCTGGATCAAGGATTAGCAGTGGACATTTCTGAGCACTCGTGGCTTTTCTGCTATCAGAAGGAAAAAAATCCTTCCTGGGGTACTTAAGTCTGAAACAGAATCAAATGATTCAGTGGCCAGAACCTCCCATGAATAGGCCCACGATTTGCAGGCAGTTATACTCTTGCCAGAATAGGGCAGGGGGAGGATCTGCTAGAAATCTTTTTGAAAGAGCTTTTAAGCTGTAGATTTGGCACAAGCAAGGCCCTGTTTCTACAGCCTCACAGGGAACACAGAAGAAAACCTTCCTTTTCTGTACCCCAAGCCTGTGTGGATTGCTCCTCCATTAAGGCTTATCTACCTTTACATAACTAAGCCTGCAACTTAATCAAGGGAGGCAGCAACAGGCCTGGACTTTCAAGACAGAGTTTCTGCCTCCTCCCACTTGCACAGCTGCAGTTTCTACGAATTTATGTTTTACCTAGCCCCCAGTCCACCTCAGCAGGGGAAAAAAAAAAAAAAAGGAAGGTGGCCTCCAGCATGCAGGAGCTCTGCACCTTCGTGTTTCTTGTGGTGTTAAAGCAAGCGTCTCAGCCACGCACTGTTTGCTAGTACAGGACAAAGAAAAATTATCCCAACTTTATCACAATGACTTGCACGGGGTATGCAGCAAGTCATTAGCTGAAGCAGGAATTCAACCCAGAGATCCCAAACCAGCCTTTGCCCTTGCCGTATTGGTATCTTACCCTATCTGCTTCAGTTTTGGAAAGGATACGATAGCTGAATTGCTGAGGGTTATAGCTCCAGGGTACATTCCTGACCAAAACACAATTACCTGGCAACTTCATCCTGACAGCTGTGAAATCAACCGTGGAAAGGAAAGGTAAATGAAGATGCTAATTGTGCTACAGGAATCACCTGCTCCACAGTGACTCCAGGCAGGAGCCACCTCACTGTTCAGTGTTAATAGTACAGGTTTGTGCAGAGAAAGAGCCCCGCCTGCAGTGGCTTTTAGCTGCTGCTCAGAAGCTGATATTGCTATCCTCAACACAAGCTTACACCTGCTTTGGGAGTCCAAATCCTCCACCCCCGCTATAGGAGAAGGGCTGATTCCCAAACTATAGATGTCTCTCCCCCCCTCCCTGAACACAGGATGCATTAAAACATTCTTTTCTGTAAATACGAGTGGGACCAGAGAGAGTGAAAAACAACTCTTTCACACCCTGAAAGCCATGAACAAGAATAGCTTTGACTTGGTAAGGGCCCAATCCTTTATCCTAAAGGCAAACTAGCCCTTCTGCCCTCCTCTCCTACTCTACAGGCAGGAGGTCTGCTCCACGGCCACCTTTTAATTTAACAACAAATACCTCACAGAGTTTGAAGTGTTAAGCAGCAAAATAAGGCACAACAGCATGACAGTAATACCAAGCAATGCAGCGCTTTAAAGTATTCTTTAAAAAAGAAGTCAACCCAAAACTTTATTTAGTAGAAAACTTTCAGAAGACAAAATTAGTCTGTTTGAATGTTTGAAGTATTACACTGACAACATACTCATTAAAGACAATTCCCGTTCTCCTAAGGTGTAATCCCGTTTCATAATGCACCCTTTATTCATTGCTTTCATCCTTACAGAGAGGCTGTAAAGCTGCTCTTCTGCAATGCCATCAAAAAAGAAGTCCTCATTGAAGATGGGATTTCTACTTCTCTTTATAACAGTGCTTCTCTGCTTCTGTGTTTTCCCTGGCACCAGGGAGAAGGTGATACAGCAGTTTATGTTTTTGGGCTCTACACAGTCATCATATAAACCCTCTGCACTGATCAGGCGGATCCGCAGCCTTTCATTTTCTGAGCAGTATTCAGCCGATAGCCTCAACATGCCTCCCTTGTCCATTACCACAGTGCTCTCTCCCACTAGTCTCTCCCGGCTGCGAGTCAGGTCCAGGGGAAATATGGGAGAACAGGACATGCTAAAGCTCCGCGTGGCAAGCAGCCCCTCTGAGGCCCGCCTGATGGCACTGGGGCTGTTATCAGTGGAGCTGCTCTCCTCTGTAGAGAGAGAATTGTTCCTGGCCATGCTGAATCTGTTCTTGGCTTTCAGCGCTCGGCAGAGCAATCCCTCCAGACTTTGTGTTTTGATCAGGGAACAGGATCTGGGAGGCGACCTGCTGAGAAGCGGAGAACTGAAAGGAGAGGAATCACTGGAGGAGGCAGTATCGCTGTCACACGCGCCTTGCCTGTGCAGAGAGAGGTGCTTGGGAGGCAGCCTCACAGAAGCAAAGCTGATAGCAATAGGATTAGACGTACTCCCTTTGCCACTGAATGTGTTAGCTCTGGATCGAGACAGCATCAAGCTGGGCAGAGTACCACGTGGGTCACCGTGGAAGATGGACTCCTTTCTCCTGGTGTGGGGACTCTCCAGCAAAGTGCAGAAGCCATAGGAAGTGGGGGCTCTGAGAAAGTGAGGCAGGGAGAGCGCTGCTTGGGACTGTGGGTCCGAGTTGGTGCTTTCTTCCTCCAGGGCTGGGATCTCTTCAGCACTTTCCACCTGAATGAGATGTGGCAAAGAAAAGCTGGGGCTGTAGTCGGAAGGATCAAGATCTGCATCCTCTGAACCGCGGTCCTGGTGGGAGCCGGTGCCCTTAACAGGGCCAGAGCTGGTCAGCCTGGGGGGAATGCAGAATTCAGGGATTCTGTCAGGGGTGAGCACATTAGGAAAAGCAGCAGTCCCCAGTCGGGCTTTTTCAGGCAGATTTTGGCCAGGTGGCAGACCCAGGAATGAGGAGCTAGGGAGGTTTCCATTTCCTTGTGATGCTCTGATCTTTTCCAGGAACCACATCACTGTAGCTGGGCAGGAGGTCCTCAAAGGGAAAAAGCTGGAAGTACAAACCCACCTGCAGACACAGAGATGCAGAAGTACATGAACATCCTTTCTAGGATACACTACAGCCAAGCAAGGCACGGAGGATGCTATTCAAAGCAGGACTGGCACAAGCCCAGTCAATCCACAGGTTCAAAACAGCCTCTGCCCAGCACGCTATCTTCAGCGAAGTCAAATGGATTTCGCCACAAAAACAGAACTAAACCACTGAAGAGATAAAACCGTATCGAGTCACTACCAGGAGAAAACGTCCCTCTCTGATAAACCCCACCCTATTTCTCCCTTAGCAGAGAGGACGTACCTTGTCAAGTGCAAGCCACTCGTTCTTTCCAGCGGCGCCCGCTCTCTCGCTGCTAACCGGCCTCGGGCACCCTCGGCGGCTGCAAGCGAGCACCCGCAGCCCGCCCCGGGC